AGAAGATTAAACTAATATTAGCAAATAGGTTTCAGAGAGTAGTCACTGGGTTGACATTGATCTGATTGGTTGCTACAAGAGGCAAAAATAGCTGTAACAGTTTTACAGGTGTAAACAGTTGTTGTAGTAGCTGGACATTGTCTCCAACACAACAGCTTGTGTAACATCTCTGCCTAAACCTTTAGGATTTACTTGAGCTTCACTGAAATCCCTCTATTGGTATATTAAATATCGTAATTGCCAGAACGCATCTGACTAAGCCGCGCATACTTAATTTAGTATAAAACACAATTTTGTACACAAATTAGACGTGCTGATGTGTAAGCCACAGATGTCCACAATTTAATATCAAACTGTACACAGCTCCTGGTAAGATGTGCAGCCCTTGTTATAGTACAAGAATGAACCACCAGATGGTGTTTCTTATGTTGGTTTGCCTTCAACACTCACTGCTGATTCTCACTGGACTTCCTGAGGCTCACTGGGACTTAACCTGTATAAATAAAGGTTGAATGGATGATGAGACGGTCTCTGACTCATGGTTACCGGTAAATTACTACGGTAAATAACCATTCAACCTACAGAACGAGTGCAAAAACTAGTCTAAGAACACATTATCTGTAATCACTGGAGAAAACTGCTAAACACCTACGCAACTGAATTATTCAAAACCGGTAGGTTTTTTTTTTTTTACCTTAATAGTTTATATGTTTTATGTGTTAGAAACATGCAACAACCATGAGTGAGATTGGTACTGGTCACATTTAGTGTTCACGCCAGCTGTTTCTCAAAGACCTACTCCCAGTAGAGGTGTGTACTGGGCAGCTGTGCAAGTGTCCAGGTGACATGAAGCCTCCGGCAAATGTTTCTGGTGACAAGAAGCTCCTTAGCCAAATTTCATTGGTCAGATTTAAATTGTATTTTTTTTTTTTTTTACCTTTATTTACCAGTCTCATTAACTCATGTCTCTCTTCCGGGATGGGTCCTTGTGACTCGTGGGAGAAAACAAAATGTAATTATTGGAATAAAAATACAGAAATGAGCTGCGCCGCGGAGTCCAAAGCGTGAGAAAAAAGCAGCTTATACACCGGCAATTACAGTAGGTACAGTATTAAACTATTGACCACTTGTTAAAAACGATCAATTTCTTTACCAGCTGTAGCAGAGACCTTTATCAAAGTTGGCTTCAATTTTGTGTCCAAATGCATCCCAGTAAGCCGAACGACTACGTGGAGGATGTGTGTATTACAACCGTTCTCTGCGGGGACTTGTTTGTAACCTGGCCTTCCTCAGCATCACACATGCTTTTGGACAAGGGCAGCCAGCCGAGGCTCCGGTCCAGCCCCGGGCCTCGGTGGGATTGGTGTGAACTGACAGGTCTGAGAATAGAGCTCAGGATGGCTGGGATATTTTCCACAAAGCAGAGTCAAATTACACAAGAAAGAAGCTGAGCCTGTGCTCTCCCCTTTCATTTGTTAAACCCACAAGTTGGATATTCCTTACCTGCAATGCATACTATCTACCCTGTAGTGAACCAGATGACCTCAAATCTACCAGATGGACAGAGACTGTTAGTTTCATTGATCTGAATTAGTCTGGGCCATCTGATGACTTTCTTTCTTGAATTAATCAAGCAGAAAAGACAATCCTCTATAATCATTACTGTTTTACAAATGTTTTAATAATCAATTGTGGTAGTTTCACTCAATGCTTATAGGTTGAAAAGAACTACTCATCTTTATTTTACATAAACAGTAAGTAATGATTTTTATTCCTCACTCCAAGAAGAAATCACCTGAATAAGCATTCCTTGATTTTCTGTCTGAAATGAGTCAAGTCGTAAGTATGTGAAAGGTTGGTTTTCGGTCAACTAAAATGTTTACCGAGAAAAATGTCATGTTTAAACTTTTTCAGAAGATTACCAAGAGTTGACTCCACGAAGTCTGCTGTTGCTGCAATAATCTTTTCTGTATGTGAAAACAAATTTCATTCTCTGACCTCGACTGTTGATAAACACCTTACGTCAAAACCACTCCTCTTTCTGGTCCTTCCACGAATCAGAAAGCTCTAAATTGAACAGGAAGTCGACCCAAATAAAAAGTGGCAACTTCCCAGTTCATGTTAGATTGAGATTGAGATTGAGATTGAGATTGAGATTGAGAGTGCAGCCGGTTCTGAAAGTTTCAGAGCAATGAAGAGTCCAAGAGAGCAATGAAGAATCCAGAGGTTTTTGGGATTATAATTCTGTTTTGAGCTAACTACGCACGACTCTCTGAAGGTTTGGTAGTTCTCGACGGAGACGCTGAAACGAGTCAGAAAGGAACTACTCCGACGCTGATTCATCATCAACAGGTAGATGGTTCTATTTCGACCAAGTGTACCGTGAGAAGCTGAGATCGGACGGAGCGTGCAATTTCTGGTTAAACAGATTAAATTTCCCTCACATATTTCCTCTGTAAGATAAATCTCAATTTACTCTTAAACTCACCTCTCTCTCATAAATCAGTGCAGATATTTTCAGAAATATCTGAAGCAAAGTCCTCAAATCACCGCCGAGTGATTTGAAGTTCATTATTTGTGAAACTGTCTGTTATTATTTTCATATTTTGCCAAATTAATGTAAATGTTTGATGTTAAACTTTGATTCTGAAAATAAATGATTCCATTCATTTGATGGGTCAAAGGTAATAACGTCTCTTGTTCGCATTCCTTTAAATTCAATGCACGGCATTACACAGTCAGAAAGATGAAGAACTCGTGAAAAGTATGCATAAATATATATCCATATATTTGTCATACAACAAGTGACACGTACCTCACGTGACTCACTACAAACTGGTGGCCCGTAACGTGTTCATGAATGACTGTTAATACGTGTAAGATTGATGATTTAAATGTTGGCATGTTGAAAAAGTAACAGCTGACGAGCTGTGAATGTTTACGCAGCGGCTGGGCTGCGCGCTTGGAGCTGCACCTTTCAAGCAAACGCTGCATGTTATAAGCGTTACGCTGGCAATGTTTTAAAAGCTGAAATTGAGTCATTGAGTCTTGTGTAAGCTGAAATTGTACGTCTGTTACGTGTAACTAAAAGCTGATGAGCTGTGGAAGACGTTATTCTGTTTAAAAGTACGAGGTTCTGCTAAGACCCGGCTGTGGGTCCGGTTCTGCTCAGTTTGAACGAGTATTTTGAATAGATGGATAAACGTTTTAAAAGCTGAGTGCCATCTCAGAACACAGT